CAGGCTCCTCTGGATTGTAGTTTATTATTTGGTCTTTTTGTATTAGAGTGGGACAAGACTTGAAGAAAAGAGACCAAATAATCACAAAAAATTCACAAAGTGATTTTCCTGAAGTTCTGGTCTGATAATGTCAGTCCCTTACTTATTGCACTCTATTGGGTCCCTATTGACCCTGGGATTAAACATGATTCCCTCTTTTTCTCATACTTTTAAATTTTCATTGCTCTGTGAGTTTTATAATAAACAGAATTGTTTTACACGTACATAATTTATAAATAAGTAAACATTCACATATGGAGGATATATTGTGAAAGAGGTGTGCAATCAAAAGCATTTCAAGATCATTGCCCTGGGAAACTCTCTAAGAATATAATTTCAAGAAATGATAACTATCTACTTTGACAGAGGAATGTTCTCATTCAGAAGTTCCCTATCCTTATGAAGAAACTAACACAGGTAATTGATAAAAGATTTTTCTGTTGTTAACTTGTAAATTGAGAAATGTAGTCACATGTCCTGTATTCACATCTCGGTGCTCACAAATGTCTTTTCTCTTCAGTGACATAAATTATTATTACAATTTTTTCATGAATGGATACATTAATAACAATATGGCCATTTGTATTCAGATTTCTTCTATCTCACCTTTGGGGACCCTTTGTCTCACTGACTTGATTCATTATTAGTGTAACTAACAGGGTTCCAGTTTCTCAATATCAGTGTCTTATTTAGTTCTAATTTGTAACATCACAACCTTTGCTTAACCTCTGATGTAAGGAAGTCTAGCTACTGTTCTCCTAGACTGAAAAGTTGCATTAATTTTTAAATGCTAATTCTGAGAAAGGAAGGGATGGTGTTTAAAAAGCACTTAGAGCCAAAGAATTTGATGAGTCTAGAGTAACTTCATTTATTATTTCACCCCCAAATCTGAAAGGTCATCCTTTCTTTCATGTTTTTCTCTGGCTGAAAGGCTGTTGCCTCAGAAGACAGGGAAAAACAACTCCCAAAAATGTATGAGGTTGATGTTTCCCATGCCTCTCCTTTCAGCAAAAGGACACTAGTCAAACAGTTTAGAAAATTGTGCCAATGATTGCAAAGGTTATATTCAAGAAGGTTGGCTTACCTTGCAGCATTGAATATAGTTCTACTAAGACAAAAAACTTTTCACCATGCTTATCTTTTTCATTACACCCACAAAATCCCTGAGCTTATCACAGTTCACAAAAACCATGTTGTCAAAACAACAAAAAATTTATGAAAGGATATAAAATGCAGATTATATCAATTGCAGCAGTTGTTCAAGGTGGTAATTTAAATATTGAATTTGATATAAAGGTTTCCATTTTTAAGGAGATATCTTACTTTAAAAATAGAATTCTAAGAAAATTCCTGACATGCCAAGAGATCAAAAATAGAAGGGCTAAATATAAGTGTTTTATGTTTGGGAAGAAAGCATAACCTAAAATATTGACATTCCAAATGAAAACTGCTACCCTTCAAAAGGAATGTTGGACTTTCTATTATTTTTACATTGCATTCTACTATTTCACAGACTAAGATATTTTAAAAATAAATACATGCTATCCTTACTTTAACTCTAAGTGCTATATCTCTTCAGGTTTCCTAATGACTCCTGAATTCTTGCTGAAATAAACTAGATTTTCTGGCTTTGGGGATTTGTGGTCTCTAGTATTTGTACTCACTGTAATTCATGCTGTCATTAAAAGACACTGAGTCCCTCAACTCCTGGGCTCATTCAAATAGCCAAACAGCAAACAGCACAGCTGTACAACTGGAATAAAATATCATTGTTGCTATACCTCCCTCCCTGAAATTACCTTATATTTCTTTTATATAGATTTTTGTAGGTTTATATATGTTCACAATATCCTCTCCCAATAGACTATAAGCTCTTTGAGAGCAAGGACTATTTCATTTTTGCTTTTGAATCCTCAGTGTCTACCTTAGGGTCTGGAAAATATTAGGAGCTCAATAAATGCTTATTGATTGATTAGTAACAGAAGACTCAAATTTAGCTAAAAATACATACTATCCTAAAAGGCTAATCAGATGATAATACACAAATTACATCTTACCAAAATGTTACTCTGATAAAAATGTTCTTTTTTCCCTATTCTGTTGTCTCATTAAAAAAAAGCAAACAAGCAAAAGAGATAGGCTTTTAACTTCCCAAATATAGCACCATCTGCTAAATCCTTACAGTCATATTCCAATTCTAATATTTGTAGAGACCTGAACATTTAGGAAGGTTTTTTTTTTAGTTCATTTTGAATAAAGGCCCATTTTTCTGTCAATGTTTAGAGAATCTTATGTTGTATCAGCAACATGATAGTGGAGCTTCCTGGTATAAATGATATGTTTTAAAGGAATATCCAATTTATAAGGAAGTTTAAAATGACAAAAATGGAGAGAAGAGAAGAAAATATGATAGTAAATAGAACTGGTCTTTTGGTTATGTCCACAGGGGTCAATGTTTCAAAAGACTTGAGAGGAAGTACCCAATGGCATTGGCTAGAATGGGTTGACCTCAGTTCCCAAAGTCCTCATGTATGCATGTACACACACACACACACACACACACACACACACACACACACACACACAGAAAAGAGCTTATGGGTAAAAGACATAAAAGCTTAACCAAGATAAAAGCAAAAAAAAAAAAAAAGAGTGCCAGAGTAAGAAGAAAGAAGACACAGAAGGCAGAAGCTGAAGTCTAGCTAATGCCACTGAAAGTAATATGTCTGGTGCCAGGATAGAAAGGACAAGAAAACAGTGATACATTATTTCCTGACCTAACCTCTTCCCTCTCTATCCAGAAAGGAAATCAATTATTCCTATAGGATGTTTCCTAGCTCACTTTAACTTATTTGCTTCTCTCTAAACTAGAGAAACAACATTTGTTTTAAAGGAGAGGAGAGGGGAGGAAAGGAAAGGAAAAGTGAGGAGAGGAGAAGAGAGGAGAGGAGAGGAGATGGGAGGAGACCAGATGAGATGGGAAGAGACGAGAGGAAAGGAGAGGAGAGACTTTACATTGAAAAACATAAACTAAATTAAAGTAAAAAGAAAAAAAAGGAAAATAAATGTTGCAGGGTCTATGGGAAAAGAGATACTTTGATGAACACTGGTGGAACTGCGTATGACCATTATGGAAAGCAGTTTTTCATTACACAATTACCAAACAGTTCATGCCCTTGGTCCCAGTTATACCACTGCTAGGAAAATACCAAAAGAGAGCAAAGAAATCAGAAAATGGTCATATATATAAGAACAACTTTTTAAGGTGATAAAAAAAACTGGAAATTAACGGAAATCCATCAGTTGAGAAATGGAATAAATTGTAACAAATAGATGTAAAGTAAATATTGTTATTCAGTTGTTAGGTTGTGTCTGACTCTGTGACACCTTAGATCACAGCATGCTATGCCCTTCTATCCTCCAGTATCTCTCTAAGTCCGTCCAAGTTCATGTTTGTTGTCTCCATGACACCATCTATCTATCTCATGCTCTGCCATCCCCTTTTCCTTTTGCCTTCAATCTTTCCCAACATCAGGGTCTTTTCCAATGAGTCTTGTCTTCTCCTTATGTGGCCAAAGTATTTAAGCTTCACCTTCAGTATTTGACATTCCAGTGAGTAGTCTGAATTCAGTTTTTGACTGATTTAATCTCCTTGCTGTCTGAGGGACTCTCAAAAAGACTTTTCCAGCAACATAATCAAAATGTCTATTCTACAGTGCTCAGTTTTCTTTATAGTCCAACTCTCACAACCATACAATGCTACTGGAAAAAAAAAACATAGCCTTGACTATACGGACCTTTGTCAGCAAGGTAATGTCTCTGCTTTTTAGTATGCTGTCTAGATTTGCCATAACTTTCCTTCCAAGGAACAAGTGTCTTTTAATTTCATGGCTGTAGTCACCATCTGCAGTGATTTTTGAGCCCAATAGTATAAAATCTGATACTGCTTCCATTTCTTCTCCCTCTATTTGCCAGGAAGTTATAAGACCAATTGCCAAGATCTTTTTTTTTTTATGTTAAACTTCAAGCCAGCTTTTATATTCTCCTCTTTCATCTTTATCAAGAGGCTTCTTTATTCTTTTTCACTTTCTGCCATCAGAGGGTATCATCTACATATCTCGGATTGTTGATATTTCTCCCAGCAAACCTTAATTCTGGCTTTTGATCCAGCCAAAGCCAAAAGGAAGTTCAGATATAGCTGCATCTAGTGATAAAAAGAAAGTCCAATGTTGTAAAGATCAATATTGCATAGGAACCTGGAATATAAGATCTATGAACCAAGGTAAACTGGATGTGATCAAATAATAGATGGAAAGATTAAACATCAACCTCCTGGGTGTCAATGAACTTAAATAGACATGTATGAGTGAGTGTAATTCAGGTGCCCACTACTTTGGGCAAGAATCCCTTAGAAGAAATGGAGTAGCCCTCATAGTCAATTAAAGGGTGAGAAAGCAAGTATTGGAGTATAATATCAATAATGACTAATGATATCTATCTGAATCCAAGGCAAACCATTTAACATCACAGTAATGAAAGTCTATGATCCAACCATTGATGTGGAAGAGGCCAAAGTTGCTCAGTTTTATGAAGACCTAGAACATCTTCTAGAAATAAAACCAAAAAGGATGTCACATTCATCATAGGGGATTGGAATGCTGAAGTAGGAAATCAAAAGATAATTGAAATAACAGGCAAGTCTGGCCTCGGAGTACAAAATAAAGCAGGACAGAGGCGAATAGAGTATGGTCAAGATAACTTGCTGGTCTTAGCAAACACTCTTTTTCAACAACCCAAAAGTTCACGTGACTCTACACATGAACATCACCAGGTCAATATAGAAATCAGATTGATTTTATACTTTGCAGCCAAAGGTGAAGAAAACTCTATACAGTCAATTAAAACAAGACCTGGAGCTGACTATAAAGTAAATACTATTATGCTATAAAAATAAGGATTTGGTGCTCACTTCAGTAGCACATACACTAAAATTAGAACAAAACAAAGAAGATTGGTACAGCCCTATCATAAATAGGATACTAAAATTCATGAATTTCTTTTATTCTTTGATAAAACTTCTGAAATATGTAGATAACTGAGATAAATTTATAAGGATTATAGCAATTTTCCAACTTAAAAAATGATCAAAGGATATGATTAGGCAGTTTTCAAGGAAGAAATCAAATAATATAAAATGCCTTAAATCACTAATAATTAGAGAACTGCAAATTAAAATAACTCTGAGGTATCATTTCATACCCAAAAGATTAATTAAAATGACAAACAGCAGAGGGGATGTGGGGGAAAAAAAGGTACACATGTGTATTGTTAGTTGAACTAGTCCAACAATTCTGGAAAGCAATTTGGAAGTATACCCCAAAATCTATTAAACTGTTTACTTTTGACTTAGAAACCCTGATATTAGGACAACACCCTAAAGAGATTTTTTAAAAAGAGTAAGAGGATACAAATGTATAAAATATTTATATATTTATAGCAACTCTTTTTGTGGTGGCAATGAATTGGAAACTGAGAGGCTACCCATCAATCACGGAATGGCTGAATGAATGTGGTATATGAATGTGATAGAATATTATTTTGTTTTAAAAAATGATGAGCAATTGATCGATCAACAAACATTTATTAAGCACCAGCTATGTTCCAGACACTGTCCTAAGTACTTGCAAAACAAAAGGAAACAAAAGATAGTCTCAAGATGGACACTTTTCCAGTTTCTGGGAGCCAAGATGGCAGAGTAATCAGTAAATCGCTGTAACTCTCCCATAGTCACCTCCAAACAACCATAAAATAGCACCTCAAAACAAATCTTGGAACAGCAGCTAGGTGGTCCAGTGGATAGAGTGCCAGGCCTGGAGTGAGGAAGACTCCTCTTCATGAGTTCAAATCTTGCTTTAGACACTGGAAAAGTCACTTAATCCTGTTTGTCTCAATTTCCTCATCTGTAAATTATACTGGAAAAGGAAATGGCAGACTACTCCAGTATCTTTGCCAAGAAAACCCCAAATAGGGTCATGAGGAGTCAGACATGACTGAAACAAATGAACAACAATGGGAGAGGAGAAGTGGAATTCAGAACTAAATTCAGAACTAAAATAAATTAAATTTTAAAAAAAGGAGCACCCTGCAACTCAGCTACACTTAACCCTTTAACAGATTACCTATTACAAAATAATATTTACTTCAAGGGTGTAAAAATATACAAATATTTTCCTGCCAATGTAGCACCTGAGTCTCTGGGGAAGGGAGAAGAATTAGGTTCACAGTTTAACTAAACTTCTATATAGGATATTCCCACAAAATTCCAAGTCCAAAGTCCTCCTAGGGCTGAATCTAGGCACCCTGACTTGTCTGATCATCTATCCTGGATTGAGTCTCAACCTTGGATCATTACCATCATCTACTGGCTTCACTCCTACACATATTCAATCCAATCCAATAAACATTTATTAAATGCCTAGTATGTTCCAGCATCTATGTTAAGTGTTGGGGATAAAATTAGTAAAAAGAAAGACAGTCTCTAACCTCAAGGATCTTATAGTCTAATGACGGAAGACAACACACGAAAGGAGGCAGGTAAGAAGAGGGAAGAGATACAGGGGTATTTTGTTCCATGGAGTTGAGAAAACCAGGTAGGCAAGTAGACACAGAGACATGCCAGAATAAATCTAGAGAAAATCATGAAACCAAGCTAATTGAACCCACTATTAATTTATGTTACATAATCTCAACTGGGTCCTCACTGATACATGGAAGTCCTTTTACACTTCCTTAATTAATTCACTATTCCAGTCACAACAGTGAATATTCCAAAACCTTTTCATCCATTCTCAAAAATCCCATATATATCTCTCACCCTACCCTCTCAGCTGAGAACCTTGCCCCATATTTTAATGGAAAAAAATGAGACCACTCATAGAGAACATATCACCCAGACAGATTTCTCCTGCCACAATCTCGTCCTTTGTTCTCGTCTCACATAATGGAGTAGCTCTTCTCTTTGCCAAATCTGTATGTGATCTCATTCCATCCCAATTTTCTCCAGCGGATTGTTCCCTCTAACATTCCCACTGACTACAAACATGCCCATAGTTCCTCCATCCATAAAAAAAAAATAAAATAAAATAAAACCCCTCATTTGATCCATCCATTCTCATTAACTATCATACCATATTACCCCTTGATTTTGTGAACAAAGTCTTTGAGGAGGTCATCTACAACAGGCACCACCTCTTCCTTTCCTTTTTTCTTAACTCTCTATGGTCTGGCTTCTGATATCATCATTTAACTGAAACTGCTCTCCACAAAGTTGTCAGTGATCTCTTAATTTCCAAATCTAATGGCCTTTTCTCAATTCCCAGCCTTTGATACTGTCAATCACTCTCTTCTTAATACACTTAGCAAGTCATAGCTACGAACTCTGAATGTCCCACAAGGCTCTTTCCTGGGTCCTCTTCTCTTCCCCTCCTATACTATTTCATTTGTTGATCTTATCAACTCCCATGGATTCAATAAATGTCTCTCTTCAGATGATACTCAAATCTCCTTATTCAGTCCTAACAACTTGCCTGACCTACACTCTTACATCTCCAACTGCCTATTGAATAGCTCAAACTAGATGCATTGCAGACATCTTAAACTCAACATGTCCAAAACTGATCTTTCCTCCCAAATCCTCTCCTTTTACTAACTTCCCTATTATTGTCAAGGGTACTACCATCATCCTACAACCAAGATAGGGCATCAAGTAGTATCAAACAGGTAAGGACAATAACCAGGAAGTGACCAATAATTTGCATGTAAGATAAATATAATAGATATATTAACAGAAGGAAATGTCTTATATTGCCATAGTTTTTAACCAAATGATAATTAAACTTCAATGATTGGAAAAAGAGTTACTAAATTAAAAAAAATAAATAAAATTACTTCAAAGATTAGTTACCTGAAATATACAAATGCTCTCAGCAATTCCCTAAGTGTTATAGGCACTTGTGAAGGCACTTGACCTCTACTTGCCTCAGTTTCCTCAACCTTAAAATAAGAATGACAAGAGCACCTATCTACTGGGGTTGTTGTGAGGATAAATTGAGATAATAATTCTGAAGCATTTTGCAAAATTAAAGCACTCTATGAATTTTAGCTATTATTTGAATTGATATGGATAAAGACCTTGGCTTTAAATTGCCAAAAAGTGAAGTAACTTGTGGGTTTAGTTCAAAATGACTCTAAAACAGCTCAACAACAGTAAGGAAGAGATCATTTCCAGAAAGTATAAACTAAACCAAAATTATTCGTATTATCTTAGTTGATCCTTAACAATTACTCTGTGAAGGAGCCCTATCATTTAGATGAGGAAACTGAGTCTAAGAAAGATGCAACCATTTGTCTAGATAGAAAAACACATCTAGCATTTTTTTTATGTAAGATCGCAATACACACTATCCTAACTCTGAGTACTTTATATAAAATGCCCCCTTGCTGGTAGATTGTCTTCATGAGTTGATATTTGTCAAGCTTCATTTCAGATGCAAAAGCTACACATTACATAAAAACAAAACAACCACAAACAATAAAAACTACACAATGTTCTAATAAGTGTGAGACTCCTGCAGAGCACAGAGGATTTCATCAAAATTCTTGCAAAGCATATATGTTAACATAGTCTAGTTTCATGCTGTTTCCCCCCACAAAGGAATTGCACCAGTACATCATATTCATCCCATGTTTAACTTGGACCCCAAAGACAATTTTCCACTATAACCATAGAAATTAAGTTGTTCTCCATTCTCTATTCATGAGGGGTCTGCTATTTATGTTCTACAATACATTCTTATCTCTATTGAATTGCACCACTTTTATAAGAATATTTCTTCTAATTCAAGAAGCTAAATTATTTACAATAACAGCCTGGGTATACATTCTGTTCCTCACACAAATTACTGCTAGAGTATATGAACATAAATTACTTGACCATTATCACAGAAACATGGTATGTGGATTCAGATACAATATTCAGTTTCCATTTTCCCATATCCAATATTAGTGACAACAAGATTATTTGATTTATTTGGATATTTTTGTATTATAGCATTATAGTGAAGGAAAGTCATGCCATTTAAAGCATTATTGATCTGAAGAAATAGTAGGGAAATTGGAGATTATCTAGTTCATTCCTTTCATTTTACAGGTAAGCAAATTCTGAACATGAGAAGTTAGATAATTTTCCCAGGTCACACAGTAGCAAAACCAGGATTCAAAGCTGGGATTTCTATTCCAAATCTAGTCTTCTAGATCTCTCTTATGCAGGAGTCAGCTGAGCCAATACTTATATAACACTTTATTTACTCTGGACCTCAGTCTTCTCATCTGTAAAATGGAAGAGGCAGCTGTTGGAAGAGTAAATTTCTAATGATGCTAACATTATTTATGAATCCATGATCCTAGGTCTTTATTATGACAATGCAATCATTATATCTTAAATATGTGGAAGTACCAATCAGCAGTGCTTTCTGGGGGATATGATGCCAGACAAATCCATTTTTCCTTTCCTCCAGTTTCTCTGCCCTGGGGGAAGCATTCAAATTGAGCATCAGTAGTCAGTATGCTTCAGAGACAAGATGACAGAAAATTGTGTGCCAAGGTCAGGGAAGGGGTCATAAGAGTATAAAATGGAGCTGACTGGAAAGTAGAATATCTAAGGCCAATAGATTGGAGGAGAGAAATTTTAAAAAAAAATAGTAAAAGATAGGTAAAGTTGTGGAAATGTAGTTAGAGTGAGTGGAGAAAGGCCTAGAAGACATAGTTGCCTGGGAAGCAGCACCAAAAAAAACATCAAACAGGTTAGGAGAACAACCAGCAGGTAACTGAGGATTTATACATGAAACTTACAAATATAATACATAGACTAACGCTAACTAACACAGACTGACACAGAGGGAAATGGCTTACATTTCTATAGCTTTCTTGGCCAACTTCCTCAATCTGAAAATGTGTTTCAAACAGAATGACTTCTGTCTTATTTGGAATATACAAATATTTTTGGTTTTG